CAACCTATCTTCTCATCTAAGCATCCACTTGTATTAGATATTTTCTGTCATTTACGCTCCTACGCCTTTGAATTTCAGAATCGAATTCAGTGGGACAAGCAGACAGACTGGCATCGAATTCATTATTTTTACCAACTGCTTAATACTAAAAACAACATACACCTACATACAACTATTTCATAACACTTCTTCCGTTATAAACGCATTTGTTCAATTCAGTGGAGAGTAGGCTGGGTCATTTCCTGGTTCGATTTCCTATTTCTACGTGAAACATGTATTTATGAGGCCAGCAATAAAACTGCGTATGAAGTTTGTCTGCTACCGGCGTGAAAGCAATTTCCTTGAGGCTTTATAAACGAGAGAAAATGAATTCGGTGAGAAGAGTTCGAATTCCAGCCTAGATTATAGAATTTCCTAACTAAAATAAAAAAAAGTTACACAGTTTGTCTTTTAAATACATCATATCATAAATCTGAAGTACGATATATTTGACAGCGCCAATTGACAATCAGAGGTCCTGAAAAAAAAACAGGATGTGGCGGTTCCTTTTCATTGGTCCAAGAGATGACGAATTGATAACTAGCGTGAAGGCGAATTTTTCTTTAAAAAACAAATAGTTTCTCTATTCAAAATTCTTTCATAGGTGAGTTTCTCGCATTATACCCTCCCTGTCACTGACAAGTAGGCGGTTGGGGACAATAAAAGTAGCCAATGTGTATCATAAGCGTTGTGCTATTTATTACTACGACAAAACCAAAAGATATGGGCCGATGACTCATATTGCCGTCATTCCGCACTACACTGTCACTTTTGTTCGAGCTTGCACAATCTCAACCATCATGTTCGGATCGTTATCACATGACACCAAATAATGCCAGTTGGGACGATTGATGAAACAACCAACATGAAAAAGAAACCCTAGAGTGACAAGCAGGCTTGTCACTCCAGGGTTCTTTTCAAAGAATTTAGACCAATCTTCAGGCCAACCTAGGATTAACTCTTGATATTCCATTCTGCGGTCATAGTCTTCAGATTTTAGCTTTTTGCACATAAATAAAAAACCACTATTAGTGTTGTCTGTTTTAAAAATATTTTTGTCAGTGATACTAAAAATTTATAGGCAATTTCTAATGCCTAGTTAAGTTTGACTAAGCTGTTTTTGGGTGGTTAAGAGAGCGTTTACAGTTCTTTCCTATTGTTCTTCAGATGCATTCTGCGTCTGCAAGGGCCTGATAGGATGGTCTCTTGCCGGACAACACATCGAATACTCATGCAAAAGAAACATTTTGGACCGACCACTTAAAATTCTCGTTCCGTATCCCTCAGGGTCTTTTAAGAAAATTGCAACTACGACCAAAACTACCAAACTCACCAGCGATGGCATGTGGAGAGAGACCTTACTTTTGCAGCTCGACAATTCACAAACCTTCAAACATTTTAGCCTTTGTCATGGTTTTAACGCAGGTGATAGCAGTTGGAGATGTTGGCTGCGCTAATGCTTGAACACAAATTATTAAATTTCGTCACCAGTTTACCAATTAAAGCTTCGGTTAAATATGGTCATGAACCTTTGACCAACTCGTATATAGCTTAATTTCCAAGTATTCAAATTGCCCATTAAATGCTAAAAAAAAAGTTTTTACTTTTTCTTTTTCTTTTTCGAAAGTCTACTCAAATAAGTAAAGGGCACATTTTCTTTTTATTTACATTGGTCTTAAGATTTTGACCAACAGTGTATATATATATATATATATATATATATATATATATATATATATATATATGTTCTCCCATCGTTAATCGACGCCGGCTGTAAGCCCACGCCTATCGGGGACCCTTTGACGACGTATGAGGATCAGGCAACTCAATTCCTAGGAACCGACAGCCAGACAACCAGCACATGAGATTTGATTATAGTGGTGAAGGCTCTGTGCAGAGACCTAGTGCACCACGTGCCACAAGATCCCAGACAACCCTCCGCAGGTTTTGAATTCAGAGTTGTCCTTCTCCCTAGGCCAGTTACCACCCAAGTCTATAGAACTTAGTCTGTGCTGCTATTTACTCATAGCTGGGCGGAGAAGAAGAGGATTCATCCTTCCCCATGAGTATTAGCCTGTAATTGAATGTAATAGATTCGATATATATATATATATATATATATATATATATATATATATAAATCTAATGATATATATATAAACTAACAAAAACAACCATGTAACAGTTTATGCTGCAACCATATTAAACACACGAATTCATTCACTAGCTCAGTCACTAAATTTACTTTCAAAATCTACCACGATTCTAATTGTAGAAGTCATAACATAATTTACCTACCAGAATGCACACTATGCCAGAAAGAATATGTAGGAAAATCAGAATGACCCTATTACTACAGAATTAATAATTATCGGAATCGAATGAAGTCGACTCCCCATGAAAAATTATTAACCGTAGAACAACATTTCCGTCGAGAAAAACACGATTTCAAAACCCATGCCAGATTCACTATAATTGAGAGAATAGAAAAGTTCAGAGCAGATAACATTAGAAAGATTTTAGAATTCCATGAAAATCTGTGGATACAACGTTTAAAACACACTATCCAGCCGGTCTAAACCATAAATTTAACAATATAGATAGTATTAATATATAACCCTACAAATCAAAACCTACCCACATTTCTCACCCACACAAGACATGCTTACGGAGGTGTTGAGGCCTCACACTTCTACACACACCCACACGAACATAGACACTTACACATATCATACTCACTCACACCCTGATGAGCTAAATGATAACACACACCCACAGCAATATACAGGCTTACACATATCATACTCACTCACTCCCTAAGAACCAAATAACACACACACACACACACTTAACAGAGACACATCCCCTCTCTAGGAACCAATAAAACTGTCAAACTGACCAGGGGAATTCAGAGCAGCATGGATGCATCCAGCTCTTATCTCAAATAACAACTTAAAAGGGACTGTTTGACCAACACAAGGAATGTTAAACGATTCATGTTAAAAAGATAAAAAAATAAAAAAAAACAAATGAAAACTACAGACAAAAGTTCATTTTCTCCATCAAGACATTCATTTCTGTAGTTCACTGCTACCAGCAAGCAGAAATATTTCTTCTCCTGATGATGGCCATGTTGGCCGAAACTAGTCGAGGAATCTAAATGAAATAATAATAATAAAAACTAAAGAATATTAATCTACAACCCAGTGTGTCTGAAGATTTTAATTTTTTAATATTTTTTATTGTTCAATATATATATATATATATATATATATATATATATATATATATATAAAGTGTAAATGGATATAAATCCGACAGAATGTAGAAATTTTGAAAAACAAACAAAAATCCATAAATGTAGTTAAAATGAAAGAATTGTCGACGTCAGACGTTTCGGTTTTTAATAAACCATTTTCAAGACAAAATTCATTAAAATACAAATTCAGTTCAATATGACGAAAACGATGGACATAAAAACACAAGTCTTATCCAAGAGTAAAACAGATAACTGAAAATTTTTAAAAGATCAGCTTTCCGTTTAACGTGGTCACGCCGTAGTCACATGGGCGACGCTTTCATAACGTATTCCTAAAAGTTCGTGATTATTTTAAAATTCCTGTATTTCCGGATAAGCCTGCAATCTTCCATATGTTGTAAAAAACGAATTTAGGTTTGTGTTTTCAGTAGACAGTATATAAGCAAGTGTAAATGGATATAAATCCGACAGAATGTAGAAATTTTGAAAAACAAACAAAAATCCATAAATGTAGTTAAAATGAAAGAACTGTCGACGTCAGACGTTTCGGTTTTAATAAACCATTTTCAAGACAAAATTCATTAAAATACAAATTCAGTTCAATATGACGAAAACGATGGACATAAAAACACAAGTCTTATCCAAGAATAAAACAGATAACTGAAAATTTTTAAAAAATACGTTATGAAAGCGTCGCCCATGTGACTACGGCGTGACCACGTTAAACGGAAAGCTGATCTTTTTAAAAATTTTCAGTTATCTGTTTTACTCTTGGATAAGACTTGTGTTTTTATGTCCATCGTTTTCGTCATATTGAACAGAATTTGTATTTTAATGAATTTTGTCTTGAAAATGGTTTATTAAAACCGAAACGTCTGACGTCGACAATTCTTTCATTTTAACTACATTTATGGATTTTTGTTTGTTTTCAAAAAATTTATATATATATATATATATATATATATATATATATATATATCCGCCACCATTATCTTCTCTTCTTTTAATATCTCTATCACTCATTTCCTTTTTTTGGGGGGACGGGGTCTTATTTTACCTGATCTCCCATTTCCCCTCTCTCTCTCTCTCTCTCTCTCTGCCTTTCTCCAAATTTTTCATTACTGTGATTGTTTTCGGCAATATTTTTACGTGATTTTTAGCGACGAATTTTTTGAACGATAACAATTTTTATAACATGTAAATAAATTTTGAAATAATTCAAATTACTTACGAAATCCAGCAAAAGTCACTCATGAAATAAAAATAATCTTTTGTACGGAAAGTAAGGACCTGCGTACATCAAATTGTCGTTAAAGTAAGTGGTAGCAGAAAAATTATCGTTGATCATTTAAAAGGTAAGCTTGAATATTAATGCAATAGTTAAATGCAGCGATCAATTTTGAGTTCTTCTATAGTTTATTGTTGCCTATCGCATACGTCAGCAGTATGCCTCACAAAAAAGAAATCACCGCCAACAGAGGACCAGGTTGCAATCAAAAGAGCCATGTCTGCAGGGAGGAAAGATTGTCCTGTGCAAACGGCAGCCAGGAGAGCTTCGAATGATGGGAATATGCAAAGACTTAGGGACTCTCAAACTCCTGAACAAGCCGAAGGCTCAATGAAAGATCCCTCGGAAGGAGATAGCTTAAATGCCCGACATCACAGCTTGTAAGCTACTTCAAAATAAATATACATATCTATAATGTGTTTATTCTTATTTCGTCATACGATTTTGTCCTTGTATATTTTTGTTGATGCCTCGGGCATCTCTCCTTTCTCTCTCTCTCTCTCTCTCTCTCTCTGTCCCTCTCTAAAGCTCCCTCCCTCCCTCTCCTTCTCTTTCACTCATTTTTACTTTCTCATTTTGCTTAGCTTTCACTTCGTTTCTCTTTGGTACAGTTCCCCGCTATCTTATTCTCTATCTTATATATATATATATATATATATATATATATATCTTCGTTTTATCTTTACTTTTAAATGTATTTTTCTGCTTTTTTGCACCTTTTATTTTCATAATCGAGTTGGTTTTTCTTTATCTCTCATACTAAATTTTCTCTCTCTTTCTCTTTCTCTCTCTCTCTCTCACTCTGTATATGCGTCCTGAGTATGACGATAAACTACATCCGCGTCCTGCGTAAGACGATAAACTACGTCCAGCAGCAAGTCCTCTGATCAGGAGGTTTTGGGTAGCGTGGAACCACCTCGTAATTGCTGGTGTTCCCAGGTCCACCCTGACCCGGGGTGGTAGCACCTGTTAGGGTCCCAGCTATGGGCAAATAGTTGACCTCACAACCTGGCTAAAAACACTATGAAAGTGTAAAAGTAGATTTTAATACCAGAAATACTTTTAAAAAAAATAGTATCAGCAATAAATATTTGAAAAAAGAAAATATTGCCAGAAATAAAAATCTTATCAGCATTAAATAACCCAGTGAGGTTAATATGCCACAAAACAATAGATATATGTTACCATTTACTATACACACACTTTCGAACTCTATCACAATCTCTCTCACTATCATTTATTCTTATTTTTCACTCACTCTCACTTTCACCCTCTTTCTCTCTCTACTTCCCTCTCTATATATCGATTACTGTTTACTATGCAGACTCTTTATCATTATTTTTCTTCTCTCTTACCATTTATTACTCCCTTCATCCTCTCTCTCTTTCACCTTTTCTAACTTTCACCTTCTCTCTTTTTCACTCTCTCTCTCTGTCTCACTCTCTCACCCCCTCTCTCTCTCTCTCTCTCTGCCTCACTCTCTCACCCCCCTCTCTCTCTCTCTCTGATCTTTATTATCTTTTATTCTCTGTTTTCTTTTCTTTAAACTCCTCTTTCATTTTATGCGCTGCATTTGTGTCAGGCGTCTATTCAAGACGGTATCGCCATATTTCGAACTCTTTTCACCGTCTCTATTGTCTTCTATCTTTTATACTCTACCTTCTCTCTTTGTCTCGCTGTTTCTTTTATCTTATCCTTTTCCTTTTATATTCGTCGTATGTCTTCTTTCTCTTCTTCATATTATTCGGCCTATATTTTGACCACTCAGCACCAAGACACATGTAGCTCTCTATGAACAAATACATTGCGTAGAACCAACAAATCTGCTATGTGTAGTGGTTCTGTGTCCCTTGAAAATCAGAATCCGAAATGTTGGCATTTTACATGGAGGCAGCATCAACCACTGCCCACGAAATATGCAATCATCTCTGGCATCTTTATATTCACTGTACCGAAGCCTTGTTGCTTTCTTTCTTTTTTTCTTTCTTTCTTTCTTTCTTTCTTTCTTTCTTTCTTTCAATACTGTCTTTTTTCGTTGTTCTTTTTCTTTTGACTCTTTTGTGCCTTTCTTTAATCTTTCATTTATTTGCATTTTTCCTTTACACTTATTTTTTAAAACTTCATCTTTTGAAATAATTATTTTTATCTTAGGTCTTTCTTGCTTTCTTTCTTTTTCTTTCTTTCTTTCTTTCTTTCTTTCTTTCTCCTTTTTCAATATTGTTTCTTCTTTTCATCTTTCTTTTACGTTTGATTCTTTTGTGCCCTTCTTTAATCATGCATTTTTTTCTTTTCATTTATTCTGTAATACTTCATCTTTTCAAATAGATATTTTTATCGTGACCCTTTCTTTCTTTCTTTCTTTCTTTCTTTCTTTCTTTCTTTCTCCTTTTTCAATATTGTTTCTTCGCTTCATCTTTCTTTTACGTTTGAGTATTTTGTGACTTTCCTTTATGTGTTTTGCTTTTTCTTTTCATTTAATATTTTTAACACTTCATATTTTCAAATAGATATTTTTTTTTTATCGTGGGCCTTTCTTTCTTTCTTTCTTTTAGTCTTTCTTTCGTTCTTTCTCCTTTTTCAGTATTGTTTTTTTCTCTTCATCTTTGACTCCTTTGGGCTTTTCTTTTTTTCTTCTTTTTCTTTTGTCACTTTCTTTATTTTTTTATTGTTCATCTCTTTGTCTGGACGCTAAGCTTTGTGCTTTTCTTTCATTTAATTGTATTTTCATTTCTTGTCTTTATTTTCTTCATGTTTTTTTTTTTGTTTTACGGTGTTACTTATTTTTCCTTCTGTTGTTCAATATCTTTATTTTCGTTTCATTTATTAGTGTTTTTCTTTCTTTTCTTTCTTTCTTTCTTTCTTTCGCTTGCATTATTTTGTTGGCTTTCTTTAATATTTTTCACATCATCTATTTATTATATTACATTTTTCGATACTTCTTTCTTTCTTTCTTTCTTTCTTTCTTTCTTTCTCCTATGTCGATCATTGTGTATTTTTCTCTCAGTCTTTAAGTGTCCATTGCTTTCTCCTTTTTCCCTATAGACTTCCATCCCTTGAACTTTGATACCTACATTTCATATATTATTTTGTTTTTCTATGTAAAATCCGTAACGTTATCTTTTTGCTTCTTCGTTTCCAACCCATTTTCTCCCTTTTATCGGAATTACTCTTTCCACAATTCACCTGTGGTGTTTTTCGTCTTTTTATCCTCTCTCACTTTGTCTACATCTTTCCCTCCCTACTCTTTCTCTCTCTCTCTCTCTCTCTCTCTGGACGTCTGTTCGTTTCAGGACAACCAGACAACTTACAATATTATTACAACATGATGAGATTGCATTGACTCAAGTGTTTCACAACTAGATTGTTTTTCTAACTAGTTTGTTCAAAGTAAGATCGATACACATGTCTCCAGACTTTGGTATTTGCTTCACCAATTCCAAACATTTCCATGTTTGAATCGCAAGACACTACACACACAAACACACACTCACAAACACACACACACACACACACACACACACATATATATATATATATAGATAGATAGATAGATAACGCACACACATCTAGGGAAGGCGAGATAGATAGATAAATACATAAATAAAAAAATTACTGATAAAATAAAAAAGACCTCTAAGTAAGGCATTTTGTTACTAGATGGAACTTTTCACACTAATAATGTGTTCATTGGTAAAAGGCAATCTGATATACATACATACATGCATATATATATATATATATATATATATATATATATATATATATATATATATATATATATATATATATAAATCGGGCCTGACGATTGCGTCCAGCAAGAAACATCCTCTTGCCTCTGAGTCTTGACTTCAGTGTCCACTTTTATATTTATATTTACATACGCTTTATCTCTGATATTGGGCACTTCATCCCATAAATATAGCACACCTTAAAACTATATTTCTACTCATATATATATATATATATATATATATATATATATATATATATATATATATATATATATATATATATATATATATATATATATATATTCTTATTACTTTAAACGTTATTTTTGTGGATATACATGTTTGCGCAGACGCTGTGTTCTTTTTATTTGTTTTTAATCAATGTGAATTACATCTACTGACCTGCATATTCGATGGACATACTAAAGAAATATGTGCTCTTCGGCAGTGTTCAAACTCACCTCCCACTTTGTAAATTCAATCTGAGTGTTGATAATTTGTTCACGCAGTAATCAGCATTGATAGTGTTGAACGGTGTGTGAGAGAAACATGCACTCATACCCTCACACATAGGCGTGCACTCACACACACACGCACACCAACTGATCTCGACAGCGGAAGTGAGAGAAAAGAGCTGGTACTATTATTACGAGGCAAAAAAATGGACGTACCAAGTTGTTTTTTTTTTTTTATCAACACAAGTGAGTAATAGAATTCGTTTATTAATACAGAGTATAAATACAAGTGTACATTATAAAAGTTAAAAAATGATTTAGTATTTTGTTGGGTAACTTTTCGCTTTAATAATGGCCTCAATTCTTCGTGACATGCTATAGACTAAATTCTTTAGTAAGTCATCGTCCTTCGCCAGATTTTTCTAGTATTTCTTTAATTCTCGACAAAGCTCATCTTCTGCGTTCTTTCCTTTTAAGGGTACGCTTGTCGATTATCACCCAAAGGTTTTCAATTGGGTTATGGTCCGGACAATGGCTAGGACTCTGGAAGAGTTGGCAATTATTAAAGGAAAAGGTTACCCAACAAAATACTAAATCATTTTTGACTTGTATATTGTACATCTGTATTAATAAACGAATTTTATTACTCACTTGTCTTGGTAAAAATACAAAAATTGACTTTCTATCGGTGTGTTTATGTTTTTTTTGGGTTTTGTTTTTTTGTTTTTTTTTGTTTTGTTTATTTTTTGCCTCGTACTTCATATTCAACTAATTTTAACCCGTGCTTTCATCACTGCTGAAATATCATAGTTTTTCAGAAATAATAACTCACATCAAAGAAAATACATTACACTGCTTCATGACTGGACAGAAATTGGTTCAATACGCCAAACGTAAGGCAGAAGAAAAATGTTTAAATGACAAAGCCTGACGGTACTTTGAAAAAATACTAGGGCATCATTATGATAGCAGCCATCTTGCCCGGAATTTACATCTTGATAATGAATGCACTTCTAAATTTTGGTTACGAAACTCTAGAGAAAAAATATCATGTGTACTAGATTTTATAATTTGTAGGAGTTAAATGCAACGAAATTTACCTATCTGTTTCGACCCCTCCCCGCGATTAAATCAGTATATACAGTGTAACCCGGATATAAGAGAGTTGTGGGGACCGGAGTAGAAGTCTCTTATATCCAGGTTTCTCTTATATCCGGGTTTGGTCTATTATATATACATTAACACAGGCTCTAATTTGGGACCAGATAAAATCTCTTATATCCGGGTTTCTCTTATATCCGGGTCTCTTATATCCGGGTTACACTGTATATATATATATATATATATATATATATATATATATATATATATATATATATATATATATATGAACCCTTTATTTGTCTCGTTCTAGTTCCACCTCAGATATCAGTTATCTCCTGTTAATTCACCTCTCCAAGTTCGGCACTGCCTTAACCAGGTATTGAACTCACAACACTTTGGTACCTGTCACTGGATCTAACCAACGCCTTTATCAACTGTGACATGTGACCTTAAGGACATCTCTGTATGAATTTCTGGGACTTATAAGATTAATGTCTTCAGTAACCATTTTTCGTTGTCATTATTGCTTTTCTCTGGCACTCCTCATTACTGGTTCCTATATTGTATTCATTTTTATGCTTGGCCGGCCCAGGATATTTTTGTGGCCTAGCATATGTACTGATTCCTTGGGTTTACGAATTTTCCAATGATGTTCTTTGTCTTTTTGATTTCAACTTGATCCCCCAGAGGGCGGTGATCTCCCTTTTCTCTCCACATGTGACTAGCTACGCCTGATTTTTCCACTTCCCCTCGTGTTACAGCTTTTTGATGTTCTTGAAGCCTGAAGGGGCGACCAATCTCCCCTTTTATTTTTTTCGCAACTGCACGAGATGTCGTACTCATAGTATTTAGTTATGTTCTCCTCTATGAGGTGGGTGGGTACTACTCGGGATAGGTATCTCCGAAGTGTCATTCAGATTTTGAAGGTTGTCCTGGTGTCATATGAACCGCAGATACTTTGTATTTTCTCCGATAACCCCTTCACATAAGACAGGCAGACTGTTTTCTGAGTGTTGTTGTCCTCCTCTATCTCAGATTCTTGGGATTGCTGCCATGAACCCAGGGTAGTTGTAATGTTTTAGGGTACTGCTTATACTGACCAATTCTTTATCTAATGTCTCTGGGTCGCCACTTATGACTTTTTCTTTACGCTGTATTGATGTTGGGAGTTGAAATTGAGGTACTGTCCGGAGAATGTCGGTTTGCGGTATACAGATGTCTTGAACCCATGCACTGCTCGAGATATTAGAACATCCAGGAATTGGAGTGTCTTGTTACTCGCTTTCTCCATCGTAAGTTGTATCGAAGGTCTTATTGAGTTCACATGGTCCAGTAGAACCTGGACATCTTCCTGGTGTGGCCAGAATATGAAGGTATCATCTACGTATCTTAACTATAGAGTTGGCCTCGAGATATTGATTCTAATGCCATTCCATGTATATATTCGTCATTGCTGGTGATAATGGCGAGCTCATTGATAAGCCCTCATCCTGTCGATATATGGGTTATCCCATTCCGAAGTGTTTGTGTACAGAAAGTCAACATCGGTTTATTTACTGGTCCGTTCTCCTAGGGATGAGTCAGAAGCCAATCTGTCTCTGACTACTCTGCCAGATTTCATTGAAAAATACATCCCTACCCCTACCAAAACGTAACTAATAACTGATACATCAAAATACAGACATAATGAACACGCAGACACCCCTTGTCTGGTTGAATGGATTTCTCTGTATCCTTGGAAACGTGAATTATGATTTTTGCTGTGTATTTAAAACCCAGTAATTACTCCAAAATTCGCTTGAGGATGAAATGGAACTAATGTCTTTAATTTAATTAAAAAATTAAATTCGGAGCTTTCAGCTTCCATTTTTGAAACATGGTTAGAACTGTGTAGCGAAAATATTTTAAATCAATTAATATATATATATATATATATATATATATATATATATATTCCAGTATCATTTCCAAACTTATTCAAGATGTTCTTCGCCATCTAACTAAATTTCTGTCCTGCATTAGCAAGATGCCTCACGTCTTTCACGTACGATTTTATTTTAAAAATCCTTTTACAGAGCTCTTTGGACTCTCATAATTGAAACTCCTTTCTCACGTGTCACATGTCTTATGGATTGAGTTGGATTTTTTCTAGTTGATCTTTTAGACCTGAGTTGATATGATTATCCCTCTTTCTGCTGTGACCTCGTGATCCAGTTTTCCTCTCTACTGTTCCCTCTTTATTTTTTTAAATAGTTCTTGAATGGACTTTGGAGATAGAATCCTGATTATGAAAGTCTGAATGATCTTCTTCTCCTCACCATTGGTGAATTGATAAGACAGTGGGGCTGAGACAAAATCATTTTAATCTATTCTCTTTCTAGCTGAATAACTGAAAGGGTTTTTCAGTGATTCTTACGTCAAATGCTGTCAAGATGGCTAAACATCTTATCTGATAACATGGAAATAATCCATTCAAGAAGCGTCAAGAGAACGGTGAATAAGTTTTATAAAGGGGGAGCAGTATAGAGGAAAACAATATCAAGAGATCATAACAGCAAGAGGGGTCATCATTTCAACTTAAAGCTAAATACATTCGTATTGTTCAAAGTTGAGTCCAATGGTATTGTAAAAACCTCGGCGAATTCCAGTATGATATATTAAATCATTTCTGAGGTGCAAGGGTTCAAAACTTAATCTAATAACTTGATTTTACTGGCTCAAAACTTAATCTTATAACTTGATTTTACTGGCTCAAAACTTAATCTAATAACTTGATTTTACTGGCTCAAAACTTAATCTAATAACTTGATTTTACTGGCTCAAAACTTAATCTAATAACTTGATTTTACTGACTCAAAACTTAATCTAATAACTTGATATAACTGGCTCAAAACTTAATCTCATAACTGGATTTTACTGGCTCAAAACTTAATCTTATAACTTGATTTTACTGGCTCAAAACTTAATCTTATAACTTGATTTTACTGGCTCAAAACTTAATTTAAAAACTTGATTTTACTGTTACACGATTTGGAT